TAACTGCGGTTACTGAAACCACGCCTTCTTTCTTTGCGTACACATTTGGGCGGCATTATGCAAATATTTCCACATAGTGAGGTAGATATGTGGGGGCGTGTTAGAACGAGCCGTTTTAGGGGGCGTGGCAGAGTCTTAACTTTGATAAAGAATATCTCTTTGAGACTTTAGTCTTTGCAACTTCAGGGATCTTATCTATGCACAATCAGCTTGTAACACTCCAAAGAGAAAGGAAAACTTGAAATGACCCCTTTAATACTGTTATCCCTAAATAGCACAAGGAGAACTTATGACATTAATAATAAGACAATAATAAAAGCTGTTTACAAGACTATTAACAAGACCCATCTGAAAACAAGAAATGAGTAAAGTACACATTAAGCACAGCAAAATACTTTTTAAATCACAGCAGAAAAAAATGCCCCATCTACAGTTATTCTCAATCGATTTGACACATTTCTCCAAACTCAGGTCACTGTTCTCAAAACAGTTAACACAGTGATCGGAACACTTTGTAATTGTCCTAAACAGATTGTACGTTTTCATTCATTTCATACAAATTACAAATCATGCGAATCATTTTCTCAAAACAATGTGCACAAATGTTTTCACAATAGTTAATACAACCAACCAATAACTTAAAATACCTGAGAAAAGGTTTTACACAAATCACAAACAGTTATGTACCATTTGTCCAAACACAACTGTAATTTGTCATTTTATCAAATGAACATGGTATATTTTCGATTGGCCTAAACTGATAACTATTCGGATAAATATACACACAACACAGGAAATGCCGTTTTCCTAATTGTTTACACATTTATCACAACTGCTTTAGAGTAATAATAAAACGGAAACTATACAAAGAGTTTTATAAATAAAAATATTAATAATAAATATAAATATAAGGTGGTGGAGTGGGTAGAGAAAGGGGTGTAATGAGAGAGAAGATGAAGAGTGGAACAGGTAGAAAGAGATGAGCAGAGAGGAAGATGTGAGAAAAGAGGAGAGGAGAAGGAAATGGAGAAGAGGGCATTGGTGTAGTGGAAAGAGCATGAGGACAATGTAAGAAGACATCGGCATAGAGGAAGTGGACAACAGTGTGGAAGGGGTGGAAGGAGAGGAAGAAGGTGTAGATGGATTTCAAGTGAAATCAGAATTAACCTAATTGACCATGTAAAAAAATCATGGCCTCTCATTTAGAGAAGGAGGGGGTGGGTGGGGGGTCCTCCTTTAGTACTTCTGGGACAACTTCTGTTATTTACTGTAAATGTCCAAATATTTTTCTGAATTTAAGTTTGAGATAATTCAGGTGGACAATCAAGATTATTTTGAATGGAACAGAAGCATTGTTGACATGGTGGTCCAGAACAACACCACCAGCCACAAAGGAAGAGGCCTGTGGAGATGTTGAGGCAAGAGCTTGTCAAGCACGGATTCAACCTTCTTACATTTTTTTCTCCTATAATGCAAGCGCAGCAAATATTTAGTGTAGATAAAATGCAATGAAATTCTATTTCAGATGCAAATGACAGGCAAGATCAATACAGTAATTCAAGATAATTCATGTATACAGTAAACACACAAAGTTGTATATACAGTGGTGGCCAAAATTATTAGAACACTAGTATTTTCACCAGCTAAAAAAGTCAGATAAATATATATATCCACCGCTGTGCTGTAAAAGACTGATCTGTAGTCATCAGAAAAGTTTATTTGCAGTTCTTGCTGCTAAAGTTGGCACAAACAGTTTAAAGGGGCAATTCGTTTTTTCTCATGGGCAGGTGTTGGATAATTCTGTTTACACTATGTTAAAAAAAACAGGATTTTCTGCTATTTATACTACTTACTGCAAATAGTGGTAATTATCTGCACCTCAGTATTGTAGTGCATTATAAAACAGTATGCAATAATAATGTATTGAGAGCAAATTATAATTTTAATTCAAATTATTAAATGGATGCCACCTTATTTGCACAATAAAGCCCTCCATACATCTACCCAAACCCTACCAGATAATTTATTTTTAACCTTTTGATTATTTCCTCCATTTTATTGAAAATAAATGCCTTTCCGATGTGATATGAGATTTGAAAATGGAGAAAAATAAGTTTTAAAAGAAGTGGTTTTGAACAAAAAGCATGCGCTTTATCATCTACGCCACTGGAAGTTATGTCTACCAAGTGTCTTTTTCGAAACTCATTAATTCATTAATTCATTCTGAGGTAATTAATAATGAATGTTCATTATGACTCTAGTTTTTCTCCAGACTGCATGCATTCTGCTTCCCTCTGAATGCTTACAGTATATCCTATTTATGGACAATATCTTCTGCATGAGAGATTATCCATTCAGCTGCACATCATAGTAAACATTTATAATGGGATTATGAATGCCGAAACAAATTGGTGGTAAACAAAAGAGAAATGAGTTTTATAAAGCGGCGTTTTATAAAGCAAAGGAGTGGGTCAGTGACTTCAAGGAGAGAGAGAGAGAGACTAAACTAGGTCCTTTTGATCTATACAGTGTGCACAGTGAAGTACAGTATATCATTACTGTGTTAGCACTGCCTCTGGGACTGGAAACTTATCTACCTCTCTGCCAGTCTCGCACTGTGCCTTTTAAATAGCCCCTGAATCATAATCCATGTGTGCTGGTTAATTTATCATTCGATCTGTCTTTATCTGTGCAGATGCTGGGAGCTGAGTGCAGGAAACATCAAATGGATCTACCAGGTCCCCATTCTGACAGCCATTGGGGTGAGTAAAAGTGAAGTGAAAAACTGTCAGACTCCTAATAAACACGGCGTGAGAACCAAGCGACAGCCTGGGAAATAGTTCAAAGACTGAGGCAATTTTCCCTGAGGAGGGAGAAATCGTCTAACTTTACCTAAACTTTTCTCTTTTCTGTTATTCACCACTGCAAGATGAAAAGCACTTTGGCAAAGAAGGCAAATGTCAGAAGAACTGGCAAGAACATTACCATAATTACAACGTGCATTTGTGTGTTTCTGCCAGTTCTGCCAATTACTGGATGCAGACAATAACATGATTCAGACATGGGCACAGTCAGGAGAGACCGAAGTGTCTCAGCAGGGGTGCCTACATGTTAACCTCATTTCGCTTTTCTAGTTCATTATGTTCATTTAGAAATGATGAATAAAAAAATGGGATTTATTTATCAATTTCAAATTGAACTGATGGTTTACAGCTGCTGCTTTAACTATTCAGATACTCGACTGCCAAGGTAACATTAGCCATGCATACATGTAAGTGATGAACAGTGGCACCAAAAATATGTGAACACTTAAAAATGTATACAAAAATTATATATATTAAAAAAAATAATATATATATATATATATATACAGTGGGTACGGAAAGTATTCAGACCCCCTTAAATTTT